ACCATGGACTGCTAAAAGAACTAACAGATCTGTCCTGGAGGAAGTGCACCTGAAATGCTCCTTGCAAGCAAGAATGACCAGACTTCGTCTCACCTATTTTGGTCATGTTGTTAGAAGGGACCATTCTCTGGAGAAGGATGTCATGCTTGAGAGGGTGGAGGGGCGACGAAAAAGGGGGAGGCCTTCAATGAGATGGATTGACACGGTGGCTGTGATGATGGGCTCAAGTATAGCAAGGATCATGGAGCTGGCGCAAGATCGGACAGTGTTTCATTCTGCTATGTATGGGGTTGCTATGAGTCGGAAATGACTAGATGGCACCTAACAACAACAACAGCAACAATCAGAACTAATTATTTTTAAGTGAATGAATGGATGAAATAGAGTAGCTATTCCTAGGTGGGTGGAGGTGGTGGTGGTTGAATGCTCTTGATTGGGTCCTGACTCATATTGACCCCATGTGTGCAGAGTAGAACTGCTTCACTGAGTTTTCTAAGCTATAATCTTTACAAAAGCTGATTGCCAGGTCTTTCTCCCATGGAGCCATTGGATGGGTTTGAAACACTAACTTTTTGATTAGCAGCCAAGCTTTTAACTGTTGTACTACCAAGGCTCCTTAGGTGGAGGTAGAGGTGGGGAAGTTAAAATAGGAACAGAGGAAAAATCCAGTTGTGGATGCAGAGAGGAAGTTCAGGTGGTGCTTTGATAGGTCCTGGTAGTCAGTGAGTGTGGGTACAACAGATGGGAATATGGTGGGACACGCTAGTATGCAGCTTACATCAAGGAGATACAGCAATAAAGACAGAAACTCTGGCCAGCAGCTGAAGCAACAGAGGGGAGTCTTAGTATAGGCAAGATGAGGGAGGTCTGTCAGTCAGTAACCAGATCCCAATTTTGGAGTTTGGAGTTCAGATTCAGAACTCACTTTCTAGAAGTGCTACAAGATGGAAGATGTACTTCATCCCAGACTTAGAGAAACAAAGTACTAGTTAAGTGATTGATTCAGAGACTCAGGGATGAAGGACAAAATAGCTGTGGGAAACTGCATGACATACATGAAAATAAACAGATTATTTCCACCAAAACAAATCTTTGGGGGCACATTAGCAATATGAGAGAGAAAGAGAGGGTGTTAGAGCAGGTGCTACCTCGACCAGTGACCACATATCTGAAATTTTGGTTCACTTAGAGAAGTTAATTCACCTGGGTCGTAACTTAAGCAGTAGGGAGTTTGTTTTGGTTTTTATTCCTAACCGTAGAAGTCCTCTCGGAAAAAGTAGGAATGCTACAAAATGAACCTATCTGACTCATTCCTGGACCTCCTTGATGACTGAATTTGTTTACCATCTTCAGTGGGAATGCTATGGAATATAAACCAAAACCAAACTCACTGCCATTGCATCAGTTCTGACTCATAATGACCCCCTTTGGGTTTCTGAGGTGCTAAATCTTTACAGAAGTAGATTGCCCAGTCTTCCTTTTGTGGAGTAGCTGGTGGTTTCAAACTGCCAGCC